TGGGGTGGGGGGGGGGGCTAGCTCTGTAAGAGAGCACCATGCTGAGGGCAGAACACTCTTTGGAGTGGCCAGTCCCCTTCAGGGACCCTTAGCCACGTCAATAAATAGGACACCAGGAAGCAGCCACTAAATACGGACAAAATAAGAGTGCAGGCGTTGCACACTGATCCCAGGACGAAGCCAAGACCGCCCGCACTCAGGGCAGACAAGGGCCCATGGGAAGTCGTGTGGAGGCCAGCGATTTCCAGCCTTTTCATCTCATGGCACCTGAACTGATTACCAAGATTCCGCGCCACACCGAAAAATATACTTCTTGCCAATCTGATAAAAAATGAGGTACAATTTTTATCCATTTACAACGGACAGCTATTGTATTGGCTGTTGCCAAATTTTTTAGTTGGACAATCTAAGGCAAACGGGGTCAGTGCACCCCGGCCAGTTTGCTCAGTGGTTATCGAGTGTCGGTCCATGGACTGAAGGGTCATGGGTTCAATTCTGGTCGAGGGCACATACCTTGGTTGCAAGCTCGACTGCTGGCCATGGCTGGGGCGCATGCGGGAGGCAACCAATTGATGTGTCTCTCTCACATCGATGATTCTCTCTCTCTCTGTCTCTCCCCCGCCCTTCCCACTCTCTCTAAAAACCAATGGGAAAAATGTCCTCTGGTGAGGATTAACGAAAAGAAGAAAAAAAGAAAGGAAGGGAGGGAGGAAGGTTGGTTAGTGCCCCTGACTACCAGTAAATAGTCAGGTTCTGCATGTTTTAAGGCAGGGGTCCTCAAACTTTTTAAACAGGGGGCCAGTTCACTGTCCCTCAGACCGTTGGAGGGCCGGACTATAGTTTAAAAAAAAAACTATGAACAAATTCCTATGCACACTGCACATATCTTATTTTGAAGTAAAAAAACAAAACGGGAACAAATACAATATTTGTATTTGCATGTGGCCCGTGGGCCGTAGTTTGAGGACCCCTGTTTTAAGGATTCTTGCAGCACCCCCTAACCCACTGGCAGCACCCCTAACCCACTGGTGGCACCCCTAACCCACTGGTGGCACCCCCTAACCCGCCGGCGGCACTCCCTAACCCGCTGGCGTCGGTGGGAGCACAGGACAACTAGACCACGTCTGCCGCTCTGTGACGAGGCTGCCCCGGGCGGCTGCGGCGGCCCCTGGGGCACAGGGAGGCAGAGAGAGCTGCGGGTGGAGAGGTGGCCCCCTGTCCAGCACAGCCCCAAACGGACTGCTCGTGTTCTGTAACCTGAATCAGTGCCAACATTTTGGAAACGGAAGATTTCGCATTAAAAAAAAAAAGGCTTTCTGGTTTCTCAAAGAAAAATAAAAGAGAGAGAAAGGGAAGGGGACCGGACCGGGCCCAGCTACCCCTCAGCTGCCACTGCGTGTGCCCCTCCGGGCTGCCGCTCCCCCCTCCAGAGAGCCAGCCCCAGGGCGCTGAGGTCCCCTCAGGGTGTGACCGGAGTGATGGTACCCGGACTGCTCAGGGGACAAGTTTTCGCAAACGTAACTGAAACCCTTAGCTGCTGTTTTCTTCTTCATTAACGATTTGCCAAGAGACAGCGAAGTCCTCCCGCTCTCTAAGCGAGACTCAGAGCGTCCTTTCTCCTATTACCCTACGAGCCCTTCTCATCGGTTGTGTGGATGGTTCACAAATTAATGCTTTATTTCAAAGGTCAGAAAATATACCCATCAATCCCTTCTGCACAGTTGGAGCATGTGTTTAGGGAGCAGAGGAAACCACACTTCAACAGAGAAAAGGATGCCCAAGTAGAAAGAAAGAAAGAAAATGACTAGACAGTAACTTTAAAATAAATGTGTTTTCACATATGCCGAGCAACCACCACAGCTCTGAACGATGTAATTCATACTGAATACCGGCTTTATACGGTCTTTTCCCATGACCACCTCTTCTACTTCTTAAACTACTTTTGGATGAAACAAATGTTCCTAACTTTTTAACCCGCTGAACGCCATAAGCATCTGTAGACGCAGCGGCAGGCCTTCCCGACACGCCACGTGCGTCTATTAAAAAAAAAATGTTTTCCCTAAGTGGCAGCCCTGACCAACTTTAAAATCATTTTTCGTGAGAATTTTCAGCTGAAAATATTCAAGAACACCCAAATTGTAATACATTTATTTTTATAATATTCATTGCATATTGATTTTTTTAAATTAAATTCAAATATCGCGGCATGTGGGGATGGTTTCCATTTTGGACGCGTGGCAGTTAGATGGTTAAAACTAAGCCAAGTCAACAACAGGAGCGTCGTGGCTAACTAGAATCGCCGCAACAGTGACCTCACCTATGTCTGACGTTGCAATACCCAAATCAATAATCTTCTATAACAGTGGTTCTCAACCTTCTGGCCCTTTAAACACAGTTCCTCATGTTGTGACCCAACCATAAAACTATTTTCGTTGCTACTTCATAACTGTCATGTTGCTACTGTTATGAATCGTCATGTAAATATCTGATATGCAGGATGGTCTTAGGCGACCCCTGTGAAAGGGTCGTTCGACCGCCAAAGGGGTCGCGACCCACAGGTTGAGAACCGCTGCTCTATAAGCATAGTCATAAGCCCAGAGCAATCACACTGAGTTATGACAACAGCGACCCCTCTTATACCACCGAAACGTCTTGAAGGAGAAAATAAATCACAAAAAGACGAGTGCCAAGCGTGCACTGTGACACAGCCCCACCCCTTTGCTCTGGGGACCGGGGAGCAGACGGCGGTTGACTATGGCCAGAGTCAACGAAATTGGCTGTTTTCTTTCCTACCAGCGGCTTGGGAGTCGCTGTCCACACCCCAACATCCTGGGGACCCGAGTTCCAACCCCTCATACCCTAACGCCGCTCCTGGAGAAAGTCTGTCTCCAGGTCACAGCGACGGGACACCCCATAAAAGGAGCAAAGTCAGGGGTCCAGACCCCTTGTTTGGATTAGAGGCTGTGCTGACGTTCACGGTAACTTTGTATCCATTGGTTACCAGCTGAACACCTGCCGGCAACTTTGTCTCCTGCCACTAG